GGTGTGGGCACTGGAGTCCTGTGCCGATGTCACCTGGAGACGTAGAGCGAGATGGCCCGAGCACCACAGGGCGAAGGTGGGTGTCCTGCTGCAGGCGCCTGCCCTGCCCAGCTTGGTCCTCAGGTCTCAGGCTCTGTGCCTCTGCACCAGCCTTCAGAAAGCTCTCAGTTAAGGGCTTGAGAGCTCTAGGAGCAGCCAGCCCAGTTCTGTGTTGCAGGAGCTGCCTTCATGGGATCATGGGAAGCATAGTGCTTGTGCTAGTGGCCTTCCTAGATGCCAGAGCTCTGGGAACACCCATTGGCCTGGATCCAAGAGGCCTTTTGGCTCTGGCTTAGGACCAGCTGTTGCATGCCTTGGCCTCATCCTAGTGCCTTAACTCTGCTCCTGTGTGGTGTGCCCTGATAGCCCTCTCCTAAGTGTCAGGGGGCATTGTACACTGCTTGATGCCTGCACTGCCCTCAGCAGTGGTGGCTCTCTCCTCACTATGCAGGCTGGTATACGACAGAGAGACGGGAAAGCCGAAGGGCTATGGCTTCTGTGAGTACCAAGACCAAGAGACAGCCCTCAGTGCCATGCGGAACCTGAACGGGCGAGAGTTCAGTGGGAGGGCCCTGCGTGTGGACAATGCGGCCAGTGAGAAGAACAAGGAGGAGCTGAAGAGTGAGTCTGAATTTTGTGGTGGAGAGCACCCTGCTGTTTTGCTGGACCTGGCCTTTTCGGTGTTACAAAGTGTGTCTTTTTGGCAAGGCTGGTGAGGTGGAGACCTCACGGACCTGACCCGCTCCAAGTGATGTAGCAAGTAGTTTTGCAGAGGGATGCACGGGCTCAGCTCTGTGTTTTCTTTCCCACATGATCTCCCTGTTTTAATTGCTTCCCTTTCCTTGTTATGGCGTGGTGCTTCCCTTTTAATGAGCCCGTTAAAAATGGCTGGTTCATGTTGCCGTACAAGATCACAAACTCTGTTGCAGGCTTGGGCACAGGTGCACCCATCATAGAGTCACCCTACGGGGACCCTGTCAATCCTGAAGATGCCCCTGAGTCCATCAGCCGGGCAGTAGCCAGCCTGCCGCCCGAACAGATGTTTGAGCTGATGAAACAGATGAAGGTGAGTGAAGTGGAGGGCTGCGTTCTCTGTATGAGCATAGCTTCTACCATTGCTGCCCATGCCCTTGCTGCCCCTGTTGTGCCTTGCCAGAGCTCTGATCTGCATGTGTCTTCGCAGCTGTGCGTCCAGAACAGTCCCCAGGAAGCCAGGAACATGCTGCTCCAGAACCCCCAGCTGGCTTACGCTCTGCTGCAGGCCCAGGTGGTCATGAGGATTGTCGACCCAGAGATTGCGCTGGTTTGTCCCTTGCCGCCTCGTCTGGCGTCGGTAGGATATCGGTGGCAGCCTGTTGTGGAGCAGGGGTGGAAGAGAGCTCCTTTCTCCTTCTTCTGCCCCTAGAAAATCCTGCATCGCCAGACCAGTGTTCCTCCTCTGATCCCAGGCAACCAGCAGCCAGTGCCGGGACCGGGACCGGGGCCTGGGCCAGGGCCAAATGCCCAGCTGAACCCACAGAATACCCCTGCGTCCCAGCCGCAGCCCATAGTAAGTGTCTGTGTGATGTGCACGTGCTGTATGGTAGAGAGATGGGCATCACCAGCTCCGGCTCTCCCATCTGGGGCATGCATGCTCTGGTGACTGGGCTTCTCTGAGGTCTGGTTTCTCTCCTGGGTAGGGTGGGATGCACGTGAATGGCGCTCCTCCTCTGATGCAGCCGCCCCTGCAGGGAGGAGTGCCAGCCCCAGGACAGATGGCAGCCCCAGTGCAGGGCCCAGGCCCTGGCCCTATGGCTCCAGGAGGTGAGTGCATGGCTTTTGGCTGAACAGTGCCCTGGGCACCCAGGTCTTGCAGACAGCCCCCCTTGACCTTCCACCTAACTGGAGGGCTTGGCCCTGTGAGAGCACACACAGTGCTGTACGATGTGCTGTGGCTGCCACCAGTGGTGGTCCAGAAAGTTGGCTTATTTCTGTGGAGGACGAACACCAAGGAAATAAACCTCCAGATGCTCCGCAAGGAGCTGGGAAGGGAGGTATTTGGGGCCAAAGGAACTGGTTCATGATGCAGGGATGACCGATGAGGGTTCTGATCTCTGCCTGTTCTCTCTCAGGTGGGATGCAGCCGCAGGTTGGGATGCCGGGTGGAGGGCCTGTCCCCTTGGAGCGCGGACAAGGTAAAACAGACATGAGTTAGTGCTGTGTGTCATGTGAGCCTTGTGTTGACGGGTGCTGAGGCTGTGGGTGCTGAGCAGTGCTGTGATAAGAGCCCCTGCCAGCTACCTTTAGCTTTGCTGGATCCAGGGTAGCTCCCAGGTTTGTTCGCTTAGGCACAAGGCCGTGGTAGCAGCTCTCCTGCCTCTAGGGCCCCAGGCACCAATTTACTCCCAGCTTGTTCTGTGCCGCATTGTGCAGATGTGCCCTAGAAGCCAGGAGAGCTGCCAGTCCCCACAGAGCCCCAGCAAATGGGACATACCTGTGTTTTGCATCTCTTTGTGAACACGTGTCTGTCCCTGTGCTTGTGTGGGCAGGCACAGCTTGCTCTTCTCTGATCCCTGTCCTGCTCCTTTGCTGCCTGGGTGCTGGGAAGCAGCTTGTGCTACCACTGTCTGCCTGTGTCCCCAGCGTTCCCTGTGCTGCACCCAGCAGAGGGAGCTGGGCCTTTGCTTTTGCTTGCGACGGTGAGTGCAAGGCTTGGCAGGGAATTTCCCAGTGAGTGATGGCTTGGCTTTCCGTCCCCAGGCACAGTCTGTACGGCCCAGCCCTGGAGCCGGATTCCTTACGGTTCACACATTGCATGGCTGCCCCATCAAGCCATGTGCTGGTGTTAGCACAACCAAGGCATTCCTGTTCTTCCAGTAATAAGTCATGCAGGCGGTTGACAACCCCTATTGCCTTGACTTGTACCATAGGCCTTGTTTTGGAAATGTGACAAACCTGTTCTGAGATCCTCTGGTCATAGGTACTTAAGGGCAGCTGACTCCCATTTTCTTTGGGGTGGACACAGTTCTTCTGAGAACAACTCAGTATTTGTTGGTGTCTGGAAGACTTTGGAGAGCAGACGGAAAGCTGGCACTGGGGAGTGCCATGGGAAGCTGCAGTCAGGGGCAGAAGCTGGCTGGCTGTGTGTTGTGGGGCACAGCATGGTCCCTGCAGGATGTCTTCCTGCCCTGCACATTGATGCAGTGAGCGAGGGAAGCGTCTGTCATGCTTGTGGTGGCAGAGGTAGCATCACACCTGTGGTGACAGAAGTGGTGTTACTTGAAGAGCTTGGTAAAGCCAGACCTGCAGCATGCAGTGTCTTCTCCATAGGTTTTCTGGGGGACTGCAGGGAGTGGAGGTGATCCTGCAGGCAGTACTGTCCCCAAAGCTCAGTGCATGTGTGCATACACTATTTATGTGTCTGCTCTTCTCCCTCTTTTCCTGCTGCTTACCCAGGGAACCTGCAGCTCTCGCCCGTGGGACCTGCCAGGCCTGCGTCTATCGAACGCGTTCAAGGTATCCTAGCACCCGCTGGCTCTGTCCTCCCATGGAGCTCGTTGTGGAGCATGCAGAGAGCAGCTTTCACTTTGCTATGCTCAGGGCTGGGGACTGGCATATCACTCTTTGTAGCCTGGCAGTGTTGAGAGGAAGAGGAGGCAGGATTTAATCTGTGCCCAGAGGAGAGAACAGGCAAGCACTGTGTGCAGAGAGCCACCAGTGGAAAAGGAGAGCCTGCTTGGATGGGGCCTTTGCCTAGGATCCAGTCCCCTTTTGACACCTTGCTGCAAGGAGCCTTTCAGGTCTTGCTTTGCTCCTGGCCCCACATCAGCAGGGAGATGATGCCTGTGCTTGTAAGGATTGCCATGGGTATACCCGTGCTTGGCTTAGCTACCTGGTGCCATAAAGAGCCTGAGATAGAGCCAGAAAAAGAAAGAGAGGGATAAAATCAGTAGCCAGGGAAAGGGGCTTTGTTGCGCTCCAGCCTTGCGTGAGGGGCTGCCCCTTTGGCAGTCAGCACAGCTCATCCACCTGCGTGCCAGGAAGCAGCGAGGCTTCCCTGCGCCACAGCCCTGAGGGACAGTCTCCGCAAACCACTGGTCATGCAGATCCTCACTAGCTCTTGTGTGTCTCCCTGGCAGTGCCCATGCCAGACCCGAGGGCCCCTATGCAGCGTGGACCTCTACCTGCTAGTGGCCCGCCACCCCGAGGCCTTTTGGGAGATGCCCCGAATGACCCTCGCGGAGGGACCCTGCTCTCAGTCACTGGAGAAGTGGAGCCCAGGTGAGGGGAGAGGGAAGGAGAGGAGCCCTTGGCACTGTCCCCTGCCCAAGGGTAACCTCTTGCTGAGGACAGGGATGGCACCAGCCTTCCGGGAGTCACCCCTGCCTGGTCGGAGGCCTGTGTGCTGCCAACCACAGGGGCAGGCCCGTTTCCCCGGGGACGGGGCATCCCCGGGGTGATGGCAGCAGCCCTGTGGCATGGGGCTGACAGTACCCATCCCTGTGCCAGCCTTGCCCTTCTCCCCTGAGGCCGGCTTCAAGGGCAATTCCAGCGCTCTGCCCAGACCGTGCCAAGCCAGCATCTGATTTACACTCTCTCGCTTTTTCTCCTCCTCCTGCTTTGCTCTCCTCATCTTTCTGCATCAGAGGTTACCTTGGGCCGCCCCACCAGGGAGCCCCTATGCACCATATGCCTGGTCATGACAGCCGTGGCCCCCCTCATGAGATGCGGGGGGGACCCATGGGAGAGCCTCGACCACTGATGGGAGAGCCACGGGGGCCCTTGATGGATGCTCGAGGTGAGAGAGGGGGCATGAAATAATGGGTGGCTTAAAGTGTACACACAAGAAGTCAGGGTGGAGCCTGCTGTCTTGACACAAGACGTAGGAAGGGGGTTTGGGCAATGAAATTTCTGACTCCAGGGCAAGGAGGGACAGTCCCATGGAATAAGGGACTTTGTTAGACCCCAGACAAAAGAGGCAGTGGGCTTGCTCCCATGCTTCCTGTGGTACTGTTCCCTTCAACAGCTTGCCTTGTCTTTCCTCTGCAGTTGGGAGAGATCCCCGAGGACTGGAGCCACGAGGATTGGAGCCACGAGGGCTGGAGCCCAGGGTGATGGAGGCTCGAGCTCTGGAGGCACGAGGCTTGGAGCCCCGGGTCCTGGAGCCACGAGTGCTGGAAGCCAGGGCCATGGAGGCCAGGGTCATGGAGTCCCGGGGCCTGGAGCCTCGAGGGCCTGTTCCCAACCCACGTGGCCCCATGCCTGGTGGGATACAAGGTCCTGGGCCACTTAACATGGGAGCCAGTGGCCCACAGGGGCCCCGCCAGGTACACACAATGCCTCTGCTCAGCTGGTTGGACATCAATGATATCTTGTAGATTGGGATTGGATGGGGGGCGTGATCATGTCCTGTAGCAGGTAGAGAGGGGAGGAAGTCCCGCAGAGCAGCACCTCTGGGGAGCGCAAGGTCTGAGTCAGTGGCTCCCTTGAGGGATTCAGGGCATCCATCCCATCTCAGGCACTGCCCTTCTGCTGGGGACAGGACGAGACTCAGGCCTCTCTCCAGCTCTTCCTGATGTGCAGAAAGGAGTGCAGGAGTTGGAGGGAGAGGAGAGCATGTGAAATGCCCCATAGCCTGTCTGTCTTCATGCTTGGGCATCTTCAGACTGAGGGCATCCATCTGATCGTCTGTTGTACATTTCTGTATTTGTGTGACTGAATCCAGAGACCCCTTGGTCCTTACCTCCACCTCTCGTGCCCACAGGTTCCTAACATGGCAGGAACAGGCATGCAGGGAGGAGGCATTCCTGGGGCAGGGGTCCAAGGAGCTGGTCAGCCTGGAGGATTTAGCCCTGGACAGAGCCAGGTCACGCCCCAGGATCACGAGAAGGTGAGAGCTCAAAAGGCAAAGAGTGAGGCAGTGGGAGCAGCATTTCCTATGTGCCTTGCTGTGGTGGGGACAGCCTCTTCCTGGCTCCTGTAACCCATGGCTGCTCTGGCAGGGTATGTCTCTGATTCCCCTCTCTCCCCACAGGCAGCACTGATCATGCAGGTTCTGCAGCTGACGGCAGACCAGATTGCCATGCTGCCACCAGAGCAACGGCAGAGCATCCTTATCCTAAAGGAGCAAATCCAGAAGTCCACAGGGGCACCCTGACAGGGGGTGTCCTTAACCCAGCCTCAGCCTGTGCCTGCTCCCCTTCAGTAAATCAGAGAGCTGCTCAGGATGGGGCTCTGCCCTGCTTTTCTTCTCCACGCCAGGTTCACTCTCCTCCCCTTCCTTCTTACAGGACTGGCAGGCATGGGGTGGAGATGCTGTCTGCCAGGACAGAGGCAGTGCTCCATGGTGGCTGCTTCCTGTTGCTGTCAGAGCTGATGCTATGTTTTGGGAGAGATTTCTCCTGCCCCCCTCTAATGTTTTCCCCTCTCATTCATCCTTTTTTTCTGTGTGTATATTTTATGATGTTTGAAATAAAGTTGGAGGAAGGTTTGAGTAAAGCCATCTCTCTCTCTGCCTTGTTTGGTCTCATGTGGACGGTAGACTGGGATTGTTGGGTTTGTTGGCCAGCAGTCTGGCCTGGCTCCAAGCTAGTCTGAACCTCACCTTCCTCCCATCTGCCCTGCACCAGAGCAAGAACTACTCATGGGATTTCTTATGTGCCAAGCTGTTCTCAGCTGTTCACAGGGTGTACGGGAAGGGCAGGATGGGGAGCTCAGCTTTCTGTCCCTACTGACCAGGTGAGAAGGACTCTGTATCCGATTGCTGTATTGCTTACCATGCTAACCTGCACTGGGAGAGTGGTTTGTCCCATCTTCTCTGCATATGCTTAAGCAGAATTTTTTGCCTTTGCATGAGCTGCATTTGAAGTCTGTCTGTGTGCTGGTGTGTGCCTGGTGGGTGGTGCAGGCTGGCTATGAGTGGTGCCAGCAAGCCCCCACGAAGGGGGGGGCCTTACCCTTCACCCAGGGGGTGTGCTGTGACCAGCTGTTTTATTGCAGCCCTACAAAGGAGCAGAGTGGGCTCCCTTCATTCCTGCACGCACTGAGTCACCACAGAGGTTTTTATTATAAAGGAAAACATGTTTTATTTACTCTTTTATGGAAAGGACTGTTTAAACCTGGAGGAGGGCACGTTTTGCCCCTGGTGCCTGCTTGGCATGCCCATGTCCTGTCCCTATCCCCGTCCTGTGGTTCTGCCCAGCCCGCTGGGCACTCCCGCTGCTTCCCACTGCTCCAGCAGCATCATCACAGCACATGCTTCTGGTTTCTTGATGGGGGTGCCATGTGGAGCTGCAGGCCTGCTCCCCCCATGGGCACCCCTTGTAGACCAGGGGCAGCAGTCTTTGATCCTGGGAGTTTCTCATGGAGAAGGAGTAAGTTGTTGTGTCTTGCCTGGCTTCGGAGCCTGCACTCTTCAGCAGATGCTTATCCCTGGCCATGCTCTGGCATGAGGGAGGTGGGACAGGCAGGGTCTCCTGTCTGCTGGGCTCCCAGCCTGGCTTTGCTTAGAAGTTCTCCTTGTTGAAGTAGAATTTGACCTTCCTAGGGTCCAGGCTGGAGTGTTGATGACAAGACTTCTGCAGGCTCTTTGCCAAGGACCCCGGCCCGCAGAGGAACACACCGACCACTGACCTGCACACAGCATGGGACCATTGGTGCTGGGCAGCTCAGGGAAAAGTGATTTCAGATATTTTTTGTGTCCCTGCAACGTGCAGGGGATGAGCATGCCCCTCCCAAAGCCAGCACTGCCCAGGCTGGCACTGGGTGCCAGGTACCTTTTGAGGCCCCTGCCTGGCTCTCACCTGGGGTGGGCTGCAGCCACCGCCGCAAACTCGCTGCTCCACATGGGCCGCCCAAAGATGGTTTTGTGTCTGAGGCCTGTCACTGTGTCCGTTGCAGTGTCAAAGTGGAGCACCACATTGTTGGCCTGGGTAAAGTGGGGACAGTGAGGATCCATTGCCAATGACCACTAAACACTGTTCCCAAACTTTCTACCTGCAAACCACTGAGGGGCTTGCCCTGCCTCTCCTGCCTGACCTAGCCACCCCATGTGCCCCCTTGCAGTCATGCCTGCCCATGGTCAACTCACAATGCTGGTGTCCCAGCCAGTGAGGAAGAGCCGGTAGGTGAGAAAGTCTGCCTTGCCCGACTCTGCCATCTTCTGCTCCAGTGAGGCAAGCAGGTCATTGAACCAGGTGAAGGCTCCCGTGTCCCGGCAGAGCCAGTAGAAGTAGATCTGGCATGCAGGAGGAGAAAGGTTGATCAAGGTATAAAACAGAGCAGAAAGAGTAGAGGGATGCAATGTCAAGGACTGGGAAGCCCAGCATGAAGAAACCTGCAGCTGGTCCCATGGGACAACCCATACCTTCTTGGTCTTGAGGGTCTGGTCAGCCTGCTGGAACTTGTACCAGATGGACTTCAGGATGGAGGCAAAGGGGGTGACACCGATGCCTGCTCCCACTAGCATGGCCACCTCATACTGGAATACGTCTTCACTGGCTGTGCCAAAGGGGCCATCCACCTCAATCCTGGCCAAGAGAGATCCTAGGTAAGTAGTACAGCCTCCCCAAATCCTTATATAGGTCTATGTGGGAGCTCCCCAGCCTACCTGGGCATCTCCAGCTTCTGCTGCTGGAAGGTGTCGATGAGACGCTCTGTCCAGTCACCGGCCACCCGGATGTGGATGGAGAAGAAGTCCTCCTCGGGCGCTGAGGTGAGGGTGAAGGGGTGCCACTCCAGCAGGGAGATTGCAGGGCAGTTGATGAAGATATACTGCCCCACCTCCATGCGGAAGCCCTTCTTCTGCATCTGCAGCTCCAGCACACGGGCAGGGTGCATGACCACCTGTGGGGCAGGGACAGGGCTCAGTGCCCAGCCTGGCTCCTGTCTCTCAGCAAAGGCCTTTGGCAATGGCCCCTGCCTGCCTCCCCACGGCCACCTTGGCTGTGGGGGAAGGAGCTGGCATCACCCACCTTAGTGACAACCACCTTCTGCTGTGCACGCCAGACCCGGAGGATCCGCTCAAAGATATAGAGGAGGACGGGGGCCAGAACCCACTTCCAGGACTGAGGGGATGGAGGAGAGCAAAGGGTTGAGGAGGGCCAGGGCTGGAGCATTCCAAAGGCTTCTCCCCCCACAGCCATCCCATCACTGCCCTACCTCGGCAGGGAACTCGGGGTCTTTGCAGCAGTCATGGTGGCAACCATTGTCTTTCTCCGTGAGATAGTGGGCACAGCGATGGGGGTGCACCTCCGCCATGCTCTCCTCCGTCTGCCCACGCACCAGCCCACTGTGGGGAGGCAAGGGGTGAGCGCAGGGGATGGCTTCTGCCTCCCCAGCCTCAGTGAATCCAGCTGGGCTAGCCAGCCCTGGGAACAGGGAGCCCACAGCCCTGCTGAGCCCTCTCTGGGGCTGCATTGCTGAC